GGGGGGGCGGGGGGGTTACGGGTGGGGCAGATGGCACCTTGCCGGTTACGGCTGACGTCGAGGGGAGGAGTGGCGGGTGGCCCCTGGGTCCAGGGTGAGCTGATGAGGGCAGGCGGTGGGCGTGGCTATAGAGGTGGAGGACCAGGAACAACCAGAGGGAGCCCCGAGTCCGCTCTGGGCGGTGCCGGCCCTGCCCGGAGGCGCCGGCCCCCAGCCCAGCCTGGGATGAGGAGGGGGTCTCCCCGGCCCCCGGACTTTCGCCTTGTCTGCCTGTTGGGCTGATAGGACGCTCCGTCCCGGCGGGGGGTGGGGGGGGCCTTCGCCAGGAACAAAGGGGTGTTTGGGGTCGTATCTGTTCTGCCCCTGGTCTTGCTTCTGCCGGGAGGCAGTTCCGTTGACTAGGCCTTCTTGAGGCTCCAGCAGAGTGTCTGGCTCTGCCCGCCTCACCTCCTCCCACCACCCTACCTGTGGCTCTCAAGGCAGAGAGCTTGGAGGCGCTCTCCTCCCAAGCTGGGGGCTCCTTTCTCCCAGCTGAGAAAGTGAACTGCTTTGAGGGCAAGGCCCAAGAGAGGCTCTAGAGGGTGGGGTGGTTGGGCCTTGGGGACCCGGAACTTTCTGACCTCCTTGGGCAGGCCACGTCCAGAGACATTGTTCTGTCTGAAGAGGGCGGCAAGACTCCCTGGCAATCAGAGAAACTTCCTGGAAGAGGTGGCATTAAAGCAGAGACAAGCAGGATGAGGTCACAGCTGTAGCCACAGTGTGGAGGTGGGACCGAAGGTGGCAGAACAGGACGAGTTGGGGCAGGTGGGCCGTGAGACCCTGAAGGGGGCATCCTTGCCGGTGGCTGACGTGGGTCCAGATATCAGAGGGTGACCTGGATAGGAGCCCATGCTGAGGCAGGAGAAGGGCACCAGCCCTGCCTGGCCCAGCGTTGCCAGGAGTCCCTGCCACCTCGGGAGTGCAGACACGATACGAGGAGCGGCTGAACCCTGGCACAGGTGCCCTGTGTTCACAGAAGGCCCCAAGCTGCACGCACAGGTGCCCTGGGTACCCCGGTACACATGTGGGCACACACTTCGGTCAGGAGCTCTGTGGGAAGTAGCAGAAGGACAAAGTCCGAAAGTGAGTTTCTGCCAGTAATCAGGAAATGCCATGAAGCGGCTGCTTCAGGCAAGGTTGGATCCAGGGGCTCTCCAAGCTCTCAGTCTCTGTGTCTGTCTGCGGGTCTCAGTCTCACTCTGTTTCGGCTTGGCTGCCCTGGCTGTTGGTTTCCCTCTATGCACAACCTTCCCGTGGCAGGAAAGGTGGCCCCCAGGACAGCTGGACCCCACACCTCTCTGACTATGCCGCTGGGCATGGCTTAGTGAGGTCTCTGATTGGTTCCTGTTTCCAACTGTGCCCCAATCACATGGTGCAGGGTTGCTGTGCTCCGACTGGCCATCTCAGCCCCCACCTAGTGTGAGGGCATTGTGAGTGACAGCCCTGCTCCCCCGCCCCAGGGTGGGGGGACAGATCCCCTGTGGTCCCCACCCAGACTTGCAGAACCTTGGGGATCACCCCTTTCCACTGTCCTGCCCCCCTACCTTCTCTACAGCTCTGTGGGGTGGATCAGCCCAAGGACAGTCCCCAGCTCCTTCCCCCTCACCTTTGTCCCTGATTTGCTGTGTGACCTCAGGTAGGCTCCTGCACATCTCTGGGCCTTTGTGTCCCTCTGGAGGGACTGAGGCTCCAGCGTGCTTGGTTCTCTTCCTGCGCAGGGAGAGGAGTGGGGGGGGGGGGCGGTGGGAGGATGAACAGCAGCCCCTCTTGGCAGGGCTCCTCCTGTCCCTCCGGTCTCCACATGAAGTCACCTCTGCGGACAGGCCGTCTCCTCCCCACTGCAGCATCCTCCGCGAAGTGCCCCCGGGGCCCACGCAGTACCGTGGGAGCACAGGAGCTGCTCCTGGGAGGAAGGGATGGCCCACGCTCCTCCCAGGGCCGGCTGGTCACCCCCGGGCCCTGCAGTCCTGCACAGACCCCTGCCAGACTCTGGCCCTGGAGGACCCCTCACCCTCGACCCTGCCGAACTCCAGATTTCTCTCGGCCTTCCGTTTGCGCACACACTCGGTGCCAAGCCTGTAGCAGGGGCTGGGGCGCGGCCTTCCCGGATCTGCCGCTGGCGGGGGGGGGGGGGGGAAGCAGGGGTGCATGAAGGACATGCCGCAGCGATCTGAGCAGGGCTCTGAGCAGCCAGAGCGTCGGGGACAATGAGGGGGCAGGCCTCCGTGAGAAGGTGTGTGACCCTCCACCCCCCCAGCTGCCTGCGAGGGCCCAACAGGCTAAGGTCACCACAGGGTGTGCCTCCTGCCAGGCTGGTGGCCACCACTGGCTCAGACCACATGTCCCCCCCCACCACAAGAGTGCTTTCACAGACTCCCTCGCATGCTCTCCCCGCCAGGGTGCTGGCCTCTGGTCCTCAGACCCGGCTGCCAGCCCAGCCCCCTCAGTGCCCTAGGGGGCCTCTGAGCTCTGCTTTCCTCCAAGGCCAGCCCTGAGGTCCAGGGGTCCACTGGGGAGCAAGGCAGGGGCTCGTAGGCTTGGGGACATTCAAAGCTGCCCCTGAGCCTCTAACTCCTTATCCAGCCCCCGAGGAACATGCCGGATGCCTCCGGGCAGCCCCGCGGCACTTACAGGTCCCAGCCGGCCCTCCACGGTGCCCTTGGACCTCCTCCGCGGACTTCCGTTCTCCCAGTGGCGGTGGTGTTTTTCACGGATCTCTTTGGTTCAGGATTTAGCTTCTGCAGCTGTCCGTTTTCAGGAAACTGGAAACACTCGCTCTTCACGACAAGCAAGCGCATCTCCAGGCCTTCGCCCGTCCGGTTCCGGTACCGTCTCTCGGATCAGTGGGCAGGTCCAAGCACCAAGGTGAACCTCAGTCACGGAAGACCAGCAAAGTGCAGGGAGGGCTCTGGGGACGGGCCCCTCTCCAGACCTCGATCTTCTCACTAAAGACAGATCCTCAGAGAACACAGGCGCACGGTGGACTCCGGCATCTTTGCAGGTTTGGTCCTCGGCTCCTGTGGGATTTCACTGCCTCCACGAGCAGGTCGATACCAACAGTGGCAGAGCCGACAGCGCGGGGAGGCCTGCACATGTTCCTGCACCCTGGCTTGGCACGAGTTCCTAGCTGGCCCTGCAGAGGTCTTGGTTGGAGGCGTTCAGAACAGAGCGGCCCCACCCTGGCCCCCTGAGCCGAGGGAGGCAGCCCCCGGGTCACCGGAACCGCCCGGTCCCTCTTCTCCTGGACCAAGCCTCCCAGGTCGCTGGGCGAGCGGGGCTGTCCCCAGTGCTGACTCGAGGACCAAAGCCAAGGCCGTGGGACGGTCTGACGTGCTCCTACACTGTCAGTCCTGGCTGAGGTCTGGGTTCAGGTGCGGGAGCTGCTCCGAGCACCCCATTTCTCATCACCTCCGCCCTCTGTTGCTGGACAGCGGCCCAGATCTGCGGCCGCCTCTGCCCAGTGTCCCCACTGGCGCCTCCGGCCCAGGTGCAACCAGCAGGGGGTGCTCTTCTCCTGGGGTTTATTGCCCATTTCCCTTCCTGTAGGACTCCAAACAAAAGTTTCCAAAAGGCTGAAAGCCAAGGATCCAGTTCTGAAATCCCAGCTGAGCCGCCCCCTCCGAAGGAGCTGGAAAACCCCAAGCACACGTGGCCTTGCAGCTGCTGCTTTATGCCTCGGGCATCCCAGCCCACAGAGCTGTCCACACCGTGTCCCCGGGCCGGAAGGTGGGTCAGGGCTGTCCTCGGGGCTCCCACGGTGCCACTCAGCATCCCTGCTGTGGTTGCGACCCTGGTGGGAGCCCAAGGCTGAGCACCAGAGACATGGATGGGGCGCAAGCCCTTCACCACAGGGTGGGGTGAACTGGGACCCTCCAGGCGGAGGGAGGCGGTGCGGGAACCTACATTAGGAAGGGCCGGGGTGGGGGGGGGGGGGCCCTGGACTCCCCACTGTGTGTGTCACCCTGGCTCTGAAGGCATGGGGTGGGGAGGACTCTCCCCCCCAGTTGAGGGACAGCAGGAACAGTGTGGCCAGAGAGCCTGTGTGGGACCCTGGATGGGGCCACCTTCTTGCTGCCCACAGTGCTAATGGCCCAGGGGGGCACAGTGGTGACATGTGGGGGAGCAGGCCAGTGGGGGAGGGGCTGGGCGGTTCCCAGGGTCTTTGCACTGGTGCCGGAAAGCAGCTTCCACACGGATAATCTGGGGGTGCCCACACGGGCTTCCTGCCCCTGGGCCTGATCCATAGGACCACCTAGAGAAATGCTGAGCTGGGAGGAGGTCCTTCTGGCCCTCCAACCCCAACACTCCTATGAGTAGCTGCTAGAACTTGTCGCCTGGAGCCCCTACAAGCACCTGCGAAAGTCAGCGCTGGTACAGTTTTGTTTTTTGGTTTTTGTTTTTTTCTAAGCGTGGAGCCCAGCGCAGGGCTTGAACTCACGACCCTGAGATCAAGACTTGCACTGAGATCAAGAATCAGATGCTTAACCAGCTGAGCCACCCAGGTGCCCCTGGTACAGCTTTTTAATAACCATGTTCTAGAAAGGAGAGATGCTGTCCTTCCGTGGCAGATGAGGAAACTGAGGCTCCAAGAGCACAAAGTTCCACAGCCGATGAAGTGGTGGACCCGGGGCCAGGGGACACCAGGTCTGGGGCCCCTCCACCATTCCAGATGCCGGGTGATGAGGGCCACCTCCCCTGCTCTGGACCAGGCCACAGACTTGAGAGAGAGGCTGCCAGGCGCCCCAGCCTCCAGGACTCGCCGAGGTCAGAGCCACTGCCTCGCAGGGGAGGCCAGGAAGCCACGGGCAGGAATGGCTCCACAGTCTGCATACCAAGCATACGAGACCCCTTCTGCACACGTTAAGAACTTGAAGATGGTGACGGCAGAGGACTGAGCCAAGTGTGGGCCCTTCTGAGTGTGGGGCTGGGTGAGCACACGGGTCACTGCCAAGGCCACTTCTGAGAGAAGAGCCTGGGAGGCCCCACGGAGGCGGGGGGGAGGGGAGGGCCCCCACACCCCAAGCCCAGGGCGCTGCCTGTAGAGACGGCGGAAAGAGAAACCAGGACTCCTTAGTCAGATTTATTTTCCTCTAATCAGACAGTTGAGCATTTCCAAGTTTTGCATTCTACACTCTTACAAACTTTAGTTATTAGCATCAGAAACACAAAAACATCGCAAGACCTCAAAACACAAATAAATACCAAATAAAACCACACACAATATACAGTAAACAAAAATATAAAACATAATAATGCTATCAGAAAACCAGACATGTTGTTAATTCACATGAACAACATGATTATTGCTGAGCAATAACTTATACTGTCTTTTTGTTGTTTTTTCTTAGAAGAGCAGAAAAACAGGACGTGAATCACTGGTCACAATCACTTGGAGTGTCAAGATGGGGCCTCACAGCGAGCGGTTACTACAGACGGCAATTTTTAAAACAGGCGGGTTAAAATACAGAGTCAAATGAGAGATTGGCCTTCTTTGGTCTTTGTTTTTGGGTAACAGAACTGAACGAAGAGGTGCGCCGTCAGGGAGATTGCGGCTCTAACAACGTCACACAATTGTCTACACGGGTTCACACACTTCTGTGATCACAGATACTATTCTATAGGTAATTCTTGTAGAAATCCTTGGAAATAATGCCGGCGTTTGTGTTTACCAATTAAGTCAGTTTGCTGTTGAAGGTTATCTTACTTGTCTAATGGGGGACTGAGTTATAAAAACCAATCACCACTAACGGCAGGAGTGGCACAGCCATCCTGGACTTGACCCTCTTCCAATGCGACAGTTCGCGAGACTCAAGATGCAGCAGCGGAAATGAAAGGCAAGCACTGCTCGGCGCCACCAGGGCCTCCCCACACCAGACCGGCCACCTCCGCGCACATGGGCCACCGGAGGCCAGGGGGCAGCACCCCTGGGGACCCCCACCCCCCGCTGGCCCCGGCTCCCCGGTGACGGCCTGCCCCGCCCGGGCAGACAGTACCGACGACCAGGTCACCTGCCGACACCAGAGCCACACACGGCCCTCACCCGACTTCGGCCCCAGTGGACACAATTCTGTTTTGGAGAAAATAAAGCTGTCGGGATTTGCAAATGGAAGACAGAACCATGGTCTCGGGCTGACAGGCAGATTTGGGTGACAGACCCCTCATTCACCTCCCACACGCTCACAAAAGGAAGGGGCTCCCCCCGGCTCTCCTCCACACTCTGAGAAAGGTCTGGACCAGAAGGAAGAAAACGGTATTGAACAGCTCTGCTGACCCAGAGAAGAGGGACTCCCTTTGGAGGGCTGAGGTTTGGGCACGAGGTCCCAGGAGGAGTGCGGCTCCTGACCGGCCCCGTGAACACTGGCGGAGAGGCCGGGAGCCAGACACGTCCGTGATGGGCACAGAAGGACAGTGTCCCCCCTCCTTCACGCACAGAGTAGGGAGGTGGTGTGCACCCCCCAGGATGTGAGTTGGGGGCGGGTGGGTTCTGCCACTCTGCCCACCTCCCTTGGGCAGACAAAGAAATGACCCACCACGGGAAGCTGCCGCGTTTAAGGGTCTGTCCAGACACCCCGTCCCCTGCTGGCTGCCGGATGCCAGGCCTGCCACCGGTGGCCACGACACTGCCTGATGACAGCTGCAGGCCTCACCTGGGACATGTGGCCCCAGCGTGGGTGGCCAAGGACCCCGCCTCACCACGGTGGGCCGCAGTGGTACAGGGGAAGCCTCGGGGGCATCGGCTCTGCCAGACAGCCCCCTGGAACCTGGGCAGCATCTGAGGGGCCTGGTGGGGGTGGCCGCCACGGAGGACAGGCTTCCTGTACTCCACGGCCTTCTGGGGTCACAAGGCAAGGAAAAACTGGATCGGGCAGGAAAAGAAAGGCGCATCTGGGCCGAGAGCTCCCTTGCTCTACCTGTTGCCTCGCAAAGGCTGCTCCGGGGGGAGGCTGTGAATTGGGGCCACAACAGTGGCCCCCACGAGGCCTTCCCCGTCCAGCTGCACAGCGACCCACCCTCAGGGGGTCAGCGCCACCCTCTTGTAGGACAGGTCTTAGAAGAACAATTTGCGAGCATTCCTGTTTCCTCTGTTACCTGTGAACCCAGGACACTGAAAAACCGAACTTCTAGAAGAGGCCCAGGTGAGGGGACTCCAGCCTCCCCGGGGCCGGTCTAATCCCCAAGAGCCAAATGCCACTCGGCCACTCAAAGACTCCCAGCCCCTTGGGACAGGCCCCTCACTCACGCCCACCACGCCGTGTGCTCCCCAGCAGGTGCCCACCCATCACCGACAAGCCCAGCCCCAGGCCGCCAGCCCCCCAGCAGCCTCCATGGTCCGCGCAGGAGCGAGCGGCACACGTCCAGAGAACCACACGAGGCAAGCAGAGACAGTGAGTTGTCTTCATTTCCGGCACGAGGCTGACAGGGAAGCCGACTGGCCTTGATTCGCACACAAGACTCAGTGGTGGTTTTTCTAAAGCACTGGAACGGTTTTATCCCATGGGGAGATCCGTCACTTTTAGGAAACAGGAAAAGTGCACCCAATACACGCCGCGTAGGACACTGTTCTCTTGTTGCTGGGACCCTGGGAAGCCGGGAGGGTTGGCCGCTCGGGGACCACAGCCGGAGGCCGGCGCCGGGCGGCGAGCACCAAACCGGGGCACCGAGGAGTCAGGATGGAAGCAATGCCAGGTGCGTCCATCCGGGCAGGTCCTCGCACTCAGGTCCTTCGGGAGGCCGCTTTCCGGACAAGTGCGTGAGAGGGAAGATGTGCACCAAACGGTGGCCAAAAGGCACACAACCCACCCCCCTGCTGTCGCCAATTATTTTCAAGCCACAAGATGAGGCTTCTGCACATCCTCACCCCAGGGGATGGCGCCAGCTCCTGATGCCACGTCTTATGGGCTCCCCGGGAGGAGGCCCAAAGGGCCCGTCATCTCCCACTAGGAGTGTGTGTGGGAGGGGCGACTGGGAAAGCGCCCCCCCACCAAGGGACAGATGCTTCCAGAAGTGATTCCAGGTAGCCCACCCCCAGAAGAATTTCAACCAGGAGAGGCAAAGAACTGTTGTTGCTGTTGTTGTTTTACCAGACCAAGAGGTTGCTTTTATCTCAAATTTGTTAATATTGTCCACACTCTTAGTGATGGGGGGAGGGCGCAGGCATGCCACAGGCATGTCCCCGCTGGTAACCCCTGGCCTCAGGAAAGCCACCTGAGGCCAGGCAGGAGGGGCTGCCAGGCGTCCTGTCTCCCCTGGGTCTCCGGGGTAGAACCAGGGCAAGGTCTGGAGGAGGTCGGGAACACCTTTGAGGGACAGCGGTCCCGCAGCACCCACGGGTAGTCCTTCCTCTCTGCACGGGGACTCACGACTCCTTCTGGACAGGACGGAGGACGCGGACTGGCCCTCAAAGCAACGGGGGTGGGGGCAGGGTGGAGAAAGTAAAGGAGATGAATACGACGAGCATTTAACTGCTAACGGGCGTGGCAGGTGCTTGGAACCGATGAGGTCACTTACGGAAGGGGACGGCGTGCGCTAGGAGGGCACTTCCAGCAGGCACTGGGGCGGAGGCACGCCCAGGGCAGATGGCAGCACCAGAGACACGGCGGGCCACCGGGCACCAGCCCGACCGTCCCCGCGTGAGCACGGGGGAGCCCAGAGGCAGGCAGTCTGAGGTGCGCGGCCCAGATGCGGTGGTTCACACACACTGGTTTAGCCCAAGGAGCACCCGTCACGTGTAGCACCCATCAGTGGTAAGAGCACCCAGAAGCGCGGCGCACAGCGGGGGGCGCAGGGAGGCAGGGCTCCGGCTTCTAGTCACAGTTGGACCATTGAAAGAAGGTAAACAGTGAGTGAGCTGAGAAGATGCCGTCTGGGCAGGCGCAGGCTGGGACGGTCCCCGGGCCACCCTTCCCGAGGGAGCGGTGGTTCCAGGACCCTGTCCGTCAGCCTGGGCAGGCCCCCCCGAGAGCGGCGGTCTCTGGAATGCTCAGAGGGTTCTGCTTCGTGGCGGGTGGGCGCCCACGGCCCAGGTGGGGACACGGAGAGGCACAGTGGCTGCCCCGCTCCTGCCCTGGGGGTGGGACCGCGCCCGTGCTGGGACCAGGCGGCTCGCTTTGGGGGCCCAGAGACTTGGAATCTGTGATGACTGAGCAGTGGAGGCTCCAGAAGCGGAAGCTGAGCCTGGCTTCCTCAGCAGGCACGGGGCTGTCTGAGGGCCCTTGCAGAGGCAGGGGTCTAGTGGTCGAGAGGAACGCCGGGTCAAACTATCACCTTCTAGAGTTACAGTGAACACAAAGCCAGGGTCGAGAAGCAGCATGTCACATCTAAGGCACATAGACAGTATGCCACCACCTCTATGCAAAGATGTCGCCTTTGGAGATCGTTAACAGAATGCAGCAATGTGACAGGATGAAGAAAAACACACCTGCTGTGGCCTCCTTCAGCACGAGCCACCTGCCCACCCCCGGACCCTGGACGCCGAAGGCCAGAGTTGTCAGCAACAGAGAGCGTGTCTGAATACGTGGGGCAGAATTTTAAAAGCCTACAGGATTTTGTTTAGAACTCCAAAGTTCAACAAATGCCCTATTTTAGGGTGAAAACAATTATAAATCTGAAAATGATGCACAGCATCCATGAGCAGTTTCCCTTTCGTAATAATTTTGAAGTAGTGTCATTAACTACGACAGAGATTGAAGGTTACATTTCTAACGAGAAATACAGCAGGTTGAGTATGCTCTTTCCTATCACAAGTGATAACCAGCGTTTGATAGTTTACATTTTCTGCCAAGAAATATCAGTCTATCAACGTTTTAAAACAAAATGTCTGCAGTAACAATTATCTTAGAACTTCAAATTAAAAAATGATTCTGAATTCAGACTTCCAAAAAAGACCTAGGTGTACTTCAGGGTCTTCTGACAAACAAATTATTAAAACAGAGACCAGATGAGGCCTTAAAAATAGACAGTATACTATATTTGAAACAAGATTGCACTCTTGAATTTTAGAATATATAAGAATTGCATTATTATTTCATAAATTCTTCTTTTACTTAACATGCTGACATGTCCAGCTGTCCCCAGGTGTGTGTGTGTGTGCGTGTGCGTGTGTGCGTGTGTGTGTGTTTTTTTTTTGGTGTTCAAGTTTAAGGAAGAAAAAATCATGGTTCTTTTGTTTAGCATATATGTTTTCCACCTTAATTAACTAGATCTTTAAAAATGAAATGAAAACCTTCTCTGACAGCAGTATCTATCACGTTGGAGGATAAATAATTCTTCAGAGTGGAGCTGCTAGTCTATTAGAAAACATGTCGGGTGTGTCCTCACACGCGGCTCCTCCCGCCGGCCCGCGGCCACCTTCTGCTGCTTCCTCCGTTCCACAAGGTCCTTTTCTGAGCGCGAGGACCTCGGTGGAGACAGCCGGTTCAAACCCCCCAGAGGAGTTGCCTTCTGCTCAACCCACCTCCCCAGTGACTTGTCAGGGGTCAG